GATTAAACTTGGTGTCCGTGAAACAGTGCTCGATACAAATAGTAGTGCGGGTATAATGTGTGGTAGTCGGAAAAAAACTTCTTTTAGTTTGTTGAGGAAAGGGCTGTTCACCTGCTTGAATTTTACAAGAAGACACCAACCGCATCAAGAACGAACCCAAGCTACTGGTCCCAGCAGACAAAAGTGCACATGCAGTTATATATATATATATATAGAAGTAATGTGGCATACGAGGACCGACAACTTCGAGTGAAGGAAGACACATACTCAATAACAAATCTAAAAAGTTTAATAAAAAACGTTTCGGTCCGAGACCTTCATCAGTTGTAATCTCATGTTTTTTTTTCAGTTAGATTTTTGTAACATTTTAGTTTCTGCGCTGATGAAAATGAATATTGATATTAGCGCAGAAAAAATCTAAAAAAAAAAAGGCGGAAGGCAGTAATAGGAGCTTCAAAATCCTGTTTTGATAGCATTTTTAAAAGCATATGGCATCTGAATATTAGTGCATGGTTAATTGCCACATACCTTTTTTTTTTTTTTCCTTCCAAAGGGCCTGACAACCAGGAAATACAGGTGCAAAACTTACGAGTAGGTTTGTTTCTAGAAGATGAAGAAAGCAACACTTTCAGCGTCAATTTCACCTGGGAACCTCCGCCATTCAAGTATAGCACTGTGCGCTCTTACATAGTATCCTATGAATTGGACGGAAGTTATTTAAGGGATGAGCTTTCTTGTTCACCGTTACAAAGGGACAATCGCCGATTAGGATGCTCCAAAAGTGGAGATGTAAGTTTGGATGAGATGAGCGTGTGTAACGTAACCTGTTCGTCCTATGTAAGGGACAATGAGGGGTCTAAACGGATCAATTTTTATTACCTTCACCAAAGTGGCAGAAAGGTTGGACGGTGGTTGGTCATGAATATAAGGAAGAAAGTTATTATAAGAAAGAGAATTTTGGCAATAGCCGTTGTCATAGTGATAACAACACCATAATAGCTTGTCGTATTTTGCCATGCGCTTTCATTCAATAACCTTTTTCACCGTTTCCTTTCATAGGACTTGACATTTCTGCAGGTATCTGGAATATTCCCGCATGAAAGCGTCATTGTGAAGGTATATTGAGATTGGCATTGGTTACAGTTTGAACCTTTTCTATTTTCCAACAGTGCAAATCGGATCGACGTTTGATAAGAGTTAAAATTCATCAAGAAATTTTTTTTTCTTCCAACGTTATAAATGTGTACAGCGTGAGACTCTTTTTAGGGAGAAAAGCTTTTAAGAACAACCAGTGAATTTGTTACATTGGAGATAAACCTATTTTCTTTGAGCATGCACCTTCCTAGACTTCATTGGTATCTCTCGAAGACATTTTTTGAATTCAATAAAACCAAGTCTTTAAACGTTTGTTTTTAAATTTTAAGGTTACACCTATTTACAGCAACAGACACATCACCCAAAAAATGGTACAAAAAAGAGGGACTGCGCCCCGTAAGTGACCTCTCTTTTGCATTTCATCTGTCAGTTATTCGTTCATCATTTTGTTTCAGCTAATTTCCCTGAAAGACTTCGTTTAAGGATTTTCAAAGTTATCAGTGCGATGAATATTTTGATCACCTCTGTGTAAAAAGAGACTTCTATCCCAGATTTTTAACTGATGCAATCGCTTTTGATCTTAACTTTAGTAATTTATATCTTGCTCAAAACAGGCCCCAGGGAGGAGCTTGTTCAGGTTAATGGCTTGAAGTATGATGAGATTTTCCCTACTGCCAACAACACTTTCCTCACGACAGTGAGCTGGGAGAAGCCACTTTTCACACACAGTGATGTAAAACACTACATTTATAAATTAGCGGCGACAAATGCCCCGTTTCGGAAAAGGAGGGAAACGCTTTTGAACACCGAGACCACAACGGTAAGGGAGATGACTTTTACCAGTTGAAAAAAAGGTTGGAAACAAAATTGCAATTCCCCACGAAATCTGTAGTGACGTCCACACACTTTAAGGGCGACGGTGTTGGAAAGATGTTAGCTTGCCATTTCTAAATTTCTACCTCTAAATTTCTGTACGACTCAAAAAAGAAATTCATGGTGGTTTAACGGTTAGTACGTTCTGTAGGATAAATGTTCGACCTGATCCTTTAACTCCATTTATTTTGTCTCAATCCGTACAATCCGATTCGACATAATGATCTGATTTAATTTGGTCTTAATCGTAAGATCTGGTTTGAAATATTTGTAGATCAGATGAAAACGCGACAAAAAAACGAAACCAAACGTCAACAACAAACTAGAGCACATGGTTCATACCATAATATGCATACTAAACCCAGTACCGCGCGGAGAGGGCAAAACTAAACACGAAGTATTGCAATCAACACGTTAAACTCCGCGTCTTGAGACCATTGTAGCTCATTCTCAAAGTGCCTCAACCCAAGAGCGAGGATGAATACATGCGAAATGTAAGGGAAGCCTGGCGGAATGCCAGGAATAACCTAATGATGGTCTAGCATCCCATCCGGGGAAAGTAGACGTACTCCTCTTCGTTTCATGCAACAGAAATCGAGATGAGCACTGACCTGGAAAGGCCACGTCTCTCTCGAGAGAAGTTTTGATTAAGAAGGCCTACATCTCAACAAAGACACCGACCGCGCTCAGTACTGGCTCGACGAAAGGATTTCTTGGCGAACGGCAACATAATGAGGCGATTTTTACCTATCTATCCTGGCTAATTTGATCTCCTGTGAGGTTTTGTGCCAATTTTCAAATAGATTGATGCAGGTGGACTTGGCGATATTTTACACACATCGAGGCAGATGTGTCCCTTGAACTTGCTTCCTGGGCTCTGTACAAAACCAACTATTACTTAGTCGTTCGCTTGCTGTCAAAGTTTGGGTTAATTTAATTGTGCATGCTCATTTTCGAAAAATCCACTTTTTATGACTTGACGTCTTTGTGCTTTCTCTTTGGCAGACTGGTACCAATGTAACAATTAATGGAATCAGTAGAGTTGATGGAGTCGAATTTCAGGTATTTTACCGTAACACGTTTGTGCAAGCGAATCTCTACTTGTCTCCTCACATACAATAAGAAAGTAATTTAGTTCTTTTTGAAGAGAGATATCTATTATTAACATTAGATGAACATAGAAATTTAGAAAGTAGAATTGAACGATGCGAGTTTCACATGTAAGAGGAACATTGAGATATGCCATTTCCGCCATTAGAAGGCTTGTGGGAGTCTTAAAAGAGTCATATCGCGCAACTTTTTGGGCTGTGTAGTGATAGCGGAGCTCTAGCTCGCAAGCGCGCTAGCTGAGCTATTTGAACGCACAAGCAAGCTCTTAATATGGAATTGACTAACTTATCTGTGTCTTGCCAGGTTACTCCGGTATTCGTTGTGTCTGGGGTTACTGGTGCAGATGCCAAGATCTCGCTTGCCTGGAAATCACAAACCAGTAACTGTTATACTTTTATTTTTGATTGGAATCTTTGAGACAAGAGTTGCAAGAAATCCCGCGCCATCCTCTCAACTAAGTAGATTCAAAACCAAAACCATTCCTTTCTCTCCTTCGTGTTTTTGCACTAGGGGGAGTTTGTTACCTTCCCTCTCAGTTCCCATTGACTCCACGCGACTTTTTCTGCTCCTCCATTATCAGTTTGCGACATTCAATCAAAAAGCACTAATAGAAAAATTTATACAGCTCCGTAAGACACAAATTTCTCAATTCATGCGGTGCTTTTATCTCATACTACATAAACATTTCGAACTCTTTCTTATGTTAAATATTTTCTTATATGTATTATCTCCCTAATGAAGTGTATGATATTGGTAAGAATACGTCCGACATAGGCGATGATTAGACCGCTAATGATGATAACGATGATGATGATTATCATCATTTTCAGGTAAAAATCCTCTGTCTGATCCAATAACCACAGCTGACCTAACTGGGATTGTTATAGGAGTAGTATTAGCTATATTGATAGCAACTGCGCTACTTATTTGGTGTTACCACGAAAGACAAAGACAGATGAGAGCTAAAGGCCGTGTCAGAGGGTATGTCCTTAAAACCAATTTTACCGGTACACAATGAACTATCGCTACATAGTTACGAAAAACTATCTTCACCAGCTATTTCATAAATTTCAATAACTTTTCAATCAGTCACGTTTAATCGACTTTCCATTCATCTTTCACTCATTAATTTTTTTGCTTTGGCAGCAAAAATGCTTTAATGATTGATCATTGGGAAGTAGATGGAGACTCAGTGACCCTGGAGGAGGAGCTTGGAGAAGGGGCCTTTGGAAAGGTGTACAAGGGGGTCCTGAAGGAGTCTACGTCGCCATCACGGAAACTCTCAATGATGCCTCCCATAAGCCCCACGGGTAGAAACACGCTCAAGCAGACGGAAGGACTTATTGTGGCAGTTAAAATGCTACATGGTCAGTTGAAGTTATGTAATGTTCTCATACCTAAATAAAAGCGTCCTTCCAAAAATCAACAAAAACTATATCACATACTTTAAATTTCAACGAACTACATCCCCAAGAGATAAGGAAATCGGAGTCACACCCTTTAAGGTATGGATACCGGACAAACGAACAAATTGTGCGTAGTGTATACTCGAAACATTGGAATACTCAGTGTTTAGCGAGACTCAGTGACCCTGTACTACTTAGTCTGAGTCTGCCTACGTACTTAGTCTGCAGGGAACTAAAGCGACTCAGATAAAGTTATTAAGACTCTCAAGGGAAGAGAGGGAGGGGTTCTGATTAATGAATAAACAATCCCTAAACTGGGTTTCTTTGGTTACACGTCCCCACTCTGTTTCTCTTTGAATTTGTCCACGGTATAGTGTCTAGTTGCTGTGCTTGGTAAATAGCCAACCAGCGTGCCTCCTGCCAGCTGTGATTTTCATTCTATAGTAATAGTAATAGTAATGGTAATAGTAATAGTAATAGTAATAGTAATATTAATAGAGTAATCAAAGTTTAATGTCGTTACTTGGGGTATGGTTACCCATATTGCTCGAGCCAGAGGCTCATGTATGAAACGCAAGACAAGAACCCACCCCATCCCAACCCAGTGGAGGACATTCATCACACAGTAATCTCGTGCGTGGGAATTTAACGTCTCCTACCCCTAGCCCTGCAGGAGACGGGACCTCCATTTACTTGTCCCTATCCGAGAAGACTAGAATATCTAAACCATTTTTTGATGTTATAGAAAGGCAGCATATTCTTCTCAATTATTTTAAGACCTTGAGTGTTGGTCAGGCTGGGGCTCGAACCTTCGACCTCCCGCACATCAGTCCAGTGCTCTATCCATTGAGCTAACCGGGAGGCGATACAGAATTTTTCTTTGCATTGGCTGTTATAACCTACTGGAAGTGGACAATTAAAGGCATAAGTCATTTGTAATCATCACTTTTAATTACAGGAATGGCAGATAGCGATCAGCGCAGAGAATTTCTTGAGGAGATACAGCTAATGAAAGCCGTGGGAACGCACAAAAATATCGTCAATATGTTGGGCTGTTGCACTGTAGAGGAACCAATGTTTTTGCTTGTTGAATATATTCCTTACGGAGACCTTTTGCATTACCTACGAAAACGTCGAGGAAAGGTATTCGCCTTACGCGAGGAAGCATCAAGATAGCAAGCTAAACCACTTTCATATGATGTTTTCATTGAAAACCCCCAGATGATGTGAGAACACTGTAAACGAAACCTGCGTCGAGGTCCTGTAGACATCCTTTGTGGTGTCATCTCTCCACTCAGATATCGCGATTCCCAAAATAACTTGAATTAGTATCCAAATGTGCTTTGTAGAGTACAAATAACGCGCGAGACGAGTATAAATATCACGCGAAATTTGTACTCCAGAAATATCCCCGAAATTTGTCCACACTGAAATACCAATTCGGCGTGTTGGATAATAAATCTCATATTAAACGTTTTTTTGTGTAGTATCGCTGAGTATTTTTACGAGTTGTTTGTTTTTTGACTTGCCTTACAGGCTAGTTAAAATACGGCACAATTCATAAAAATACTCAGCGATACCACGCAACAAAACGTCCAATAAGATTTATATAGATTTCCTTACGAATACGTGCGGAGCTGGTGAGGTGAGGGTGGACTCTGCTGAGTTGATCCTCTCTAATGGCGATTTTCGAAACAATGACTAAAAAATCTCCAGGCAAAGTTCGCAGTTCTTTAACTATATCTACGAGATGAATGATCATGTATGCAGGGTTACAAATAATGAGTCGCTCAAGAGTATAGTCGGCTGAGCAAAGAGGTAGCTGGAAGAGTTCCATAGAATCAGGAGCATTTTCCCTACCTAGCTTATCAATTAATGACTGTTTCTTGCAATTTTCAACATTATTTTTCTTCGATTATAAATGACTGTTTAATAGAGGTTTTGCACAGCAGCCATGTTGGATGGCAGGAACAATAGATCATTTTACCCATGGGAAAAAAATTTCTTTCTTATGCAAAATATTTTCATTGTTCCTGCCATCCAACACGGCTGCTGTTCAAAACCTCTATTTAAGTGTTAAATTATCTAGTCTGAATGAAATTTCGAAACCCATCCTAAAGATTGATGTGTTTCCGCGCTTTAAGAAGATCTACTTTTTTGTCTCATTAGGTAAAAGAATATCTTGGTGACGAATCACGTGGTCCGTATCGTTCCACATACTGCGAGACTTACGTATTTGACAAACAGTTGGGGGAAAGAACAACAGTGGTAGGTGTAATGTATGCGTTTCGGTTCCCGCCTTCAATAATTATGTGCGCTTCGTTTCGGTGTGCGTTTACGGGACCGCTATTATGAATACTGCCGTTGTTGAGACTCGCTACTGAATAGTAAAAACAATCATTAAATGAAAAAAAAAATTATTTACAGTAGTGTAAAAAATTTTTTTTTCTTTCTGTTTTGATCATTGCGTATTCATGTTTTATGTGTGATAATGAAAAATTAGTCTTAAGAAAGCCAATGCGATTTGAAATATCCTTTGGAAAACTCCTAAAAGACAACCAAGAATTGCGCAATTTTATCGAAATTAAATCTGAACAATTGCCAAAGTTTAATAGGCAGCAATTCAGAGAAACTGAAATTCTCTATTTCATTTCGTTACAGGCCACAAGGAGTGACCGCATTTATGTCAACAGCCCTGATGCGCCAAAAGATGATGATGAAACCATTCAAATTCTATCATTTTCATCAAAAACAGAAGAAAAAGGGATGGAAAATAAAGGAATGGAAAATAAAGGAATGAACCAAGATGAAGATCATAAAGAAGTTGTTGTTGACGAGGAGACTCTTACCCCAGGAGACCTTTTAGCATTTGCCTGGCAAATCAGCGAAGGAATGGTGAGACATTGATTCGTTTGAATCAACTCAGCAACAATTTGATCCTTACCTTACACGAGCCACTAGTCTAACAGTTTGCTGTTATTGTTCGAAATGTCATGAGTATAAAAAATGGACTGTCCTATCAAAAATATTATACTTACCTTGGACAAGGCAGTGATTTAGTGATTATTCTTAAGAAGGTTACTAACTAGCATCCACTACAGAGCTTTACTTCTTTCTTATTTGTTTGTGTCTTTAATATCTTGTCGTATGCACAAATGGACACCCGCTCACGTGCTCGCACGTTGGTTATTTCGAGAGATATCCTGGATTTTGAGTGTTATTGAATGTTGGGACGGGTACAAATCGACCAGCAGGTCGGGTACGAACCAATACAAGCTGGGTACAAATCGTATGAATTTGGGCACGGAGCGACTGAATGCAAAACTTCCATGGGTATGAAACGACTAGACACCAACGTAGGATGCACCCCCATTAACCTGAAACCGCCAGAGAGATTGATCTAGCCGTCCCATTTTTAGAAGTACTTAAGTAGAAACCCATTAATCAAATATCATTCTAGATAATAGATCGAGAGGATAGGTGGAAAGAACCCTTAAGGTCATCCGCAAAAAGTGTAGTATCACAGCATTAATTTTTTTGCTTCTCTTCTTACTGTTTTCCAAAAAATATAGAGCTATTTCAAGTTTAGCCTTTTTGAGTGAATGTATTCTTTTTAATGATAAAGAATTCTTGTTTGTTAACTTTTAATCTTGCAGGAGTATTTGGCGAGGAAAGGATTCGTGCATCGGGATTTAGCGGCCCGCAACGTTCTTGTTGGTGAGAGGAAGATTGCTAAGGTGGCAGATTTTGGTCTGACTCGGCACGTTTATGAAGAGAAGGTTTACCATGCAAAGAGAAACCGGAAACTTCCTTTGAAGTGGATGTCAGTTGAGGCCATTTTTGATCAAACCTTCACAACTCAAAGTGATGTGTGAGTAAGATTTCTGTTTTAAAGGCTTTTCGCTTTCTCGGCTGCTCGTAAAAATGGAATGCTAATCGTTCATTTTATGTTTACAACTAGGTGGGCTTTCGGCGTTCTTCTGTGGGAGCTGGTCACATTAGGTAAGGGGAAGACTTGCTAAAATTATTCTAATATATTGATTAATCTAATAAAGCTAGTTGTCTGTAGTATTTAAGCCAGTCCAATCTTAAGAGAATGTGAAAGAAGCCAATAGGACCTCACAGCAAATCAAAATTCAGGACATTACTGAAAAAAAAAAAAAAAAACCTCTGGAAGAAATTAGCGATTGGTTCTTGTTTCTAAACAATTGGCTGAACAAGTTTTTTTCTTAGTTTCTGAGGCTATGGAGCACTAAAGCAAAACTAAAGCAATGCTGAGTCGGATCCACAGGGCTGTGGAATTGTCCGGGTCGGACATGTAAATCGAAGAAAAGCGTCGAAGTAACACGAGTACAGCCTTCGATACCCAAAAAGTTTAATAACAGCGGAGAGCGTTACAAGTTACCAGCTCAACACACGATGTCGACCTTTCATCCTTGCAAACCATAATAACCTGGGAACATAACAACGATTACCATGTGAAGCAAAATTCGAAACAGAAACTATTTAACAACTTAACATATGATGAAGGAATTGCAAGCTGCTAAAGCATTATGCTCCTGCACGTAGAACTGCGGAATGGAATTAACAATAACGAGTTATTGAGGAATAGCCTCACACCAACTTATAATGAAAATCTCTGATGCGTCCTGTTGCAGGCGGAACACCATACCCTACAGTAAACAACAGAGAGTTGCTTCGTCTACTTAAAAATGGATATCGGATGGAAAAGCCAGACATCTGTAACAATGAAATGTAAGTACGGTGAGCAGGTTATTTTCGTTTGACGCTAAAGCAATGAAATCGCACATGAATCGAAATTCCAGTAATGCCAAGATAAAATAAGTTTCGGTTCAAAACAATAGGCCATGAACTGCCTTACCACTGGTTTAATACCAATTGATATCAGAACGAAAACCAATTTCTTTATCTGACATAAGCTGGAAGATATAGTTATGTCAATGCTCAATTTACGATTTTACTTTGTTCCTACCATAATCTGATTTTAGGTCACAAAAATTATCATTGAATCAAATACATAAAATGCAATGGACGAGAAATTTTCGGTAACAGGAAACTTTAAAATGAATAACATCCTTAAATTGAATTAATACAGGTACGATATGATGGTTGAATGCTGGTTAGAAAATCCATTCGATCGACCAACTTTTACCCTAATCCGAGAGAGACTGGAGGAGATGATGCAGAAGGACAACCCATATTTGGACTTCAGCGTCCTCGATGAATCTCGGGATTATTACAATGTGCCATCCTTTAACAGTTTAATAGAAGAATCTGAGGATGAAGTGTTTGAAAAAGAAGAAGGCGATGATTCACTTAAAGAGGACAATGATGAGATGATCATTCTTGACAAAGATCAGCCAATGAAGGACTCGAATAAAAACGAAATTGCTCCCTTGCCAAAACCTACAAGGTTTCCACCCACTGAGGCGGAAAATAACGAGCCAGTTGATTTAGACAAGATTGAATTTAACAACAGTGCTTTTCAGAGTAAAGAACTGAGTGGTCTTAGAGAGGTAGAGGTAAATTTTGACGCTCTTGAAATGGCTCTATATCGGCATGACGCCAGGAGCATTGTCCTTTAAGCAGAGCTGCTAAGTCAAGGGAAGACTGAAAACAAAATTAAAAAGTAAGAAGGAATTTAAGAAAAAATTCGAAATATCTATAGAATGATAGAATAAAAAAAAAACCATATTGAGTTTAGTATTACAGTGTTTCGTTTTCTCGTGTTGATGTGTTTTCGTCGAAGCATTTATCAGATAAAATTCATTCAAAATTTTTCTGTTATCGAGTTTAGCAGAAGTATACTAGTCGTTCGAATATTAACAAACTCACAGGCTCTCGTTTTTATTCTGTTTTGTTTAAGCTCAATACTCAATATTATTACTCAATATTATTACTCAATATTATTACTCAATATTATTACTCAATATTATTACTCAATATTAACTAGCGAATAGATTACGAGTACCGTAACCTGAATTTTTTTTCAAGCTTTAATTTTACTAACACTTAATTAGTGTTCGTTGCGGCGATCACTCTCGTACTAGTTAAATATTCAATACCACTATACTTGCGCGAGAAAGTTACATTTCCAGAGCAACAGATTATAATTTCTTGTCCCGAGTTATGAGGAAAAAGTTAAGCAAACGAAATTCAGATATTGTGAAAAATCAGATAAGCCTAACAGTATCAAGAAAATGATTTTTCTGTAATTATGGGCAAAAACATTGTTTTTGTAATTACTTAATGATGTAAAACCGAACTTAACCAGCAGAATCTGGTTTTCTTTAGTACTGAATTTAATTGTCTTTTATACTTAAACAAATATCGCTAAAAAGTAACATATAAACGACATATCAGGTCTTATGGATATGGAAAAAAATTGAGAAGGATTCGCACATTCTTGTCATCCTTTTACAC